TAGTTACGGTTACAGGATGTTGTTACGCAAGCATCACGAACTGGCCAGCTGGCCGGCCGGGAATGGGCGCACCAAAATTAGCGGCATCGGCACTGCGCCTGACCCAGCCACAGTTGATCCACTTTTTGGTGTACAGTTAATAAAAGGAGGTGTATAGATAATTGGGCCCTACATTGGTCGGGGAATGATTCGCCGAAATGTTATTCCGCAGCGTCCCGCTTTTTGTTATGTGCTCTTCTTCACACGTCATCACGCACGTGAACCAAACCATCTACCCCACTTGGGGTCATGGAGCAGGAATTTGTTCGCGGCCCGAGGTAATCATGTGGTCTTCCACTTGCTGTTTGATGCTGTGCTCTTCGAAAATATTAAACCGTCGTGCCCCCTAGATAACGCACAGCACACCTACTTTCAGGAGCGAACGTGAAACAACGATACTTAGGTTCTTGCGCGGCCCCTAAGGTTGCTTGTGTTCGAAGCATGCCGTCAGGAGTTATGCACCACATCGATGTCAAGAGGCCATGTTCAGACAATGCGCTCATCCAAAAATGCAAAGACGACGTATGGGAATCTCTAACCTTTTCTTCCACATATCCTCCAAGCTGATCAGGTAGCAGATGGGAAAGGACTGCTCAGTTATCACGTGGGAACCCCGCGCAGACCTTTACCTGTCAGCCCTGGATGACAAGTTGTTGGCGATAGTTGTCGACTTGGATCAGTCTACCCCAGGAAGCGTGCGTGTTTACAATGGGAAAGAATTTGTTGGAATGGTTGGAAATACTGATGACTTGACAATTATTCCATGGACAAATGGATGGCGCTATGTCTGTTTTAGGACACAACGTATTGGCGAGGTGAGGTAGTCGAGCAAAATACATTACATTATCTGTTTCCCCTTCATCAATAACTCGAAGACTACCGTGTCACTACAATCAAATGTAATGAAGGCGGGTAACCCATAAATGTTTGGTATCGTGAGCTTCCCTCTTGGGTGTTGTTCATCGAGAAGAGCGCGAATGATATCCAAGCGCTTCAACGCGTAGACAGATCCTCCCATGGGCGCTAGATACCCATCAGCACGGTTTCAGGGACGGGGCAGTGGTAGTGACACACCATCTGCATGAAGAGCTTCCGTCCCGACAAGCTCTTCGCCGTCCGTGATCTCGTCGTCTTGGCGTGATGCTTCGTTCGTTGTTCCAGTCAATAAAGGGATGCCGCCAACGTGATAACTTGAGCCTGCTGTCTGCTGATTGCGCTGATCGTCGACGGAGCCGCATCGACGTTTCGCCGAGGCTAGCTCAATGACTTCTGCACTGGAACCCGTACCACGTTTGCGATATGTTGCCGATATCTGATAATGACAACAACCCAGAACAGTGGCACACAAGCCAAATGCTCTGCCAGCAAGCCTTCAACCATCTGATCACAGGGGAAGACGTGTATAGCATGTTGCACTGTTACACTGGCACATCAATATCTACAAGCCTCATCAACCTTTCTTTTGCAAGGCTTATTCACCATTCCCTCAGCCGAGGCATATTCGGCCGTATACTCAGCCAAGACTCATTTTGTCTTCCAGTCAATGTGAGGGAACGATCATGTGACTTTCATACTTTATGAAATGTCTCACTTTGATTCATGTAAATAGCGAAAGTCAGAGTCTTCCTTAGGAACCTCCTTCTCTCTTCGTAGACAATCACTTTACCCAAGTCGCACCCGACCTTGTTCGTGCACTTGTACCGTCACATATTGTCTACCAACTACCCCTCCTCAATAGATCACCGTCCGCGACGTGACTATTGATTTCGATAGTTCTAAACCGCACTTGTCGCTTTCAAACCTCACCAAAACACCCTGCAACCAAATTCTCACCTAAACCACCACACCGTCAACAACCCAATGGCTACCGCTGCCCCACACCCGTCGATCGAGTGCCCCCTGCCCCTCCTCAACGCCAGCAATACCAATGAAACGTTCCGAAATGCCTTTGTTGCTAACCCAGCCGGTCTCATGAAAGAAGTCTTCCTCGTATGCAATGCCGCATACAGTATGCAAGCGGTAATCGATTCACTACGTGCCTCGACCACGACGACAATAAGGGACATGGAGGACCTCCAAACCCGCCTAGAAAACACGCTCATTTCTAAAAGTGATGGAGACGCAACGATCGCCCGTCTTATGGCAGAAAATGAAGCATACCTAAAGATCATTCAGTCAAAGGAGCTTCACACCGCACACCAGAACACCCTGATCCTGAGGCCTTCACCGGAGAGGACCCCACGCTTCTGCCGAATTTCCTCCAGCACCTCGAGTTGAAGCTCGAAATGAATAAAGATTGGTGGAACTCGGAACCTCAACGTATGGGATATGTCGTCTCATGCCTTAAAGGCAAAGCACATGACCAAGTCCGCTACAACATTAAAGATGGGGTGGTTCTCTTCGACGATGTCAATGCCATAAAAGCACCCTTCAGTCAGCCTTCGGGGATATTGACGCTAAAGCTACCGCCCAACTCAAAATCTTTGACATGAAACAAGGCCATAGATCCTTACGACATTCCTCCCGAATGGTATGCCGTCGCCAAGCTCACCGAGTGGGATAGTGGGGCGCTCATTGCTCACCTCCGACGTGCCCTCCACGACAACGTTATCTGGAGACTTTCTCTCACTAAGGGCAAAGATACACCTACCGAACTTAGTCAATTTATGGACCTTGTCCGTATCTGCGATAACGAATGCCGTCAAGTCAATGCCAATTACTTCAAGAAAAACACCGACAACTCAGCAAGTCACAAAGCAACCTTACAACCTCCACCACGCCACAATCGACGACCTCTAACGGCGGGGATTCAATGGATTTGAGCGTCATCACCTGGGGCCAAAGATGTCGCCTCTGGTCGTAGACCCCAAACGGAAGCAGAGAGCGGCACGCAGAGCCTATTGCACAACGCATGGACTCTGCCATTGGTGCAGCTCGGGCAAACATCGTTCCCTCAATTGCGACACCGCACCATGGAGGACGGAAAAAGTGTAGTCTCCGACGGAAGTCGCCGCAGGAGACGCAAGAAAAAGGGCGATCTACTGCTCTCTTCTCTGGACACCAACCAAGCTCATTTGCTACTGCCTTGTAACCTAATCGAAGACAATTCCCTCCGATTAAAACCGAAGCAATGCTTGACTCAGGTGCCACCGGAAGGGGTTTATAGACGAATCCTTCGCGCACACCAACAAACTCACGCTTTATGAATTACGAAACCGTCGCCGGCTGAACGTAGTCGATGGAAGACCCTCCTCGGCTGGCGACATCACTCATGTGGTGAAGCTCAACATGGACATCAAGGGACACAAGGAGAAGATGCTTTTACGTAACGAAGCTTGGGAAGTATAATGTCATACTTGGAAAACCCTGGCTAACAGATCACAACCCAATCGTCAATTGGAGCACGAATGTGGTCACTTTCAACTCTGATCACTGCCGCAAATACTGCATGGAGAAAGGACAATACCAACTGCCTGTTTCTGGAGCTCCCTCTTTGTCAAGTTCTGCAACCACGACTATACTGCCACGCCCATCAATCCCCCGAAGAGTCGGCGCAGCCGCATTCCACATGCTGACCAAAAACCGCGACGTCGACGTATTCTCATTATCACTGTATGAGATCGACAAAGGCTGGCTGAACTTGGGGTCATCACAGAAGCCTCCACCTTCGTAGAACCTAAAACACGCCGACGGGTCCGATTCGACTCTGCACTCACAGACATGGACAAGATGAACCGAGAGCTCCAGCTACAGGACGGAATCACCTCCCTTAACCCCAAGGACCAACAAACACAGGAACTCCGAGCTTCCCGGAAAATAGCAGCCGATATGTACCTTTCAGGGGCATCACTCGAAGACATTCACAAAGCCCTCGAACCCAAGACTTTGATCGATCCTGCAACAAAAGTACCACAACACTACCATGAATTCTTGAAGGCATTCGACCAATCAGAGGCGGATAAACTCCCCCCACACCGAGACTGCGACCACGAAATTGAACTTCAACCTGGAACGACTCCACCACATGGACCTCTGTACGGGATGTCCCAAGACGAACTTCTCGTCCTCCGGAAATTCCTTCAGGAAAACCTTGACAAGGGTTTTATACGCGCTAGCACCTCACCGGCGGCCTCGCCGGTGTTATTTGCAAAGAAGCCAGGAGGGGCCTTCGTTTTTGCGTGGACTACCGAGCTCTTAACGCGATAACCATCAAGAACCGCTACCCGCTACCGTTAATCCAGGAGACACTTTCTCAGCTAAGCCAAGCCAAGTATTTCACCAAACTCGATGTCGTCGCAGCGTTCAATCGAATACGCATCAAGGAGGGTCAGGAGTGGATGACGGCGTTCAACACAAGATATGGTCTCTTCGAGAGCATGGTGATGCCTTTGGACTATCAAACGCCCCAGCTACCTTTCAAGCTCGAATCAACGAAGTCTTACGCCCATTCCTTGATAGATATTGCACAGCCTACATCGACGACATTCTCATCTACTCAGACGACCTCGCCACCCACAGACTCCACGTCAAATCAGTACTTCAAGCACTTGAAGCCGCAGGCCTACAACTTGACGTCAAGAAATGCGAATTTGAGACTACTGAAGTTAAATATCTGGGCATGATCATCTCAACCACTGGAGTACGGATGGACCCAGAGAAAGTCGACTGTCTCATCAACTGGGAGGCCCCTATCAACGTCAAAGATGTTCAAGCCTTCTTAGGATTCTCGAATTTCTACAGACGGTTCATCAAGGGATTTTCACGCATCGTACGACCACTTGTTGCCCTGACACGGAAACTAGTCAAATGGAACTGGACTTCATCGTGCCAAGAAGCATTCGATATGCTCAAAAATAGCTTCACTTCAGCGCCAATCCTCAGACACTTCGACCCCGCAAGAGAAGTGTTTGTCGAATGCGACGCATCCGATTTTGTCTCTTCGGGCATCCTCTCCCAGGAAGATGATCAAAGTGCTACACCCAGTGGCTTTCATGTCCAAGAAGTACGACCCCGCTGAGTGCAATTACGAGATCTATGACAAAGAACTTTTGGCTATTGTACGCTGCTTCGAATGCTGGAGACCCGAACTCCAAGGCACGCACCACCAGATTACAGTCATCACTGACCATGCCAACCTTCGATATTTCATGACAACCAAGCAACTTTCAAGACGACAAGTCAGGTGGAGCGAATTCCTATCACAGTTCCAATTCGCTATCAAGTCAGTGCCTGGGAAAGAGAACGGAAAACCTGACTCACTCACACGAAGATCACAAGACTTGCCGAAAGATGAAAATGACGACCGCATCCAGTACCAACAACAGTCGCTGCTTAAGCCTTGCAACGTAGACTCCTCCGTACAAGAACAACTAAAGCTTGACCCCGAGCTCTCAGAACTCTTTGCCAATCTCTCCTGGGAACAAGAAATTGCACTATGTCCCGCCATTCTTGACGAAATTCAGCCAGAACCAATCAACCACAGAATCACAAGACTTCTAGACAAGGGCTATGAGGAGGACGAATGGTGGATGAAAATCAGGGACGAGATGCTCAAACCCCATGGCACTCCTCACTCGAAGGAAGTTTCTCTATCGGAATGCATGATAAACGAAGGCCGATTATATTTCCGAGAGAGGCTATACGTACCCGCAGGCGAACTACGGACCCTTCTCACTCAACTCGCCCACGACAGCGTCGAATCAGGCCACCCGGAAAAACAAGCTATACGAACTCATTTCACGCTCTTATTGGTGGCCAAGGCTTAGCGCCGATACGAAACAATTCACACGCAATTGCCACGGATGCCTGAGGAACAAGACCTCCCGGTTACGGTACCAGGGGACGTTGAAACCGCTCCCAGTTCCCTTGCAAAGATGGAGGGACTTGTCCGTTGACTTCATTGGCCCAATTCAGCGCACAGCTCGTGGATTCAACGCAATCATGGTGGTAGTCGATAGGCTGTCAAAGGACAGACATTTCACGCCTTGCAAGACCGACATGAAAGCACATGACTTGGCAACGCTCTTCGTACGAGATGTCTGGAAACTCCATGGACTACCGGATTCAATCGTATCTGATAGAGGACCACTGTTTGTCTCGAATTCTGGAAAGCGGTTTGCCACCGCCTACAGATCAATATCAGCCTCTCCACAGCATATCACCCCGAAACTGACGGCCAGACGGAAAACGCTAACTCATTTCTCGAACAATACCTTCGCCAGTATGTTAGCTTTGCTCAGGACGACTGGGACGAGTGGCTCCCATTGGCCGAATTCGCAGCCCGTAACGTTGTTAGCGATTCAACGGGAATGTCTCCATTTTTTGCGAACACAGGCTACCACCCCCGAATGAGCTTTGGTCCCCCTCGCGCAATACCACTCGCGGCATCCAAAGACCTGGCAGAACGCTGCAACGAGGGAACGAATTTGTCGCCAAGATGCAAGAAATCACTGATCTACTTCGGACAAACCTGCTCTCAGCTCAAGCCTCACAAGAACAGTTCGCCAACGCAAATAGATCACCGGCGCCAGCGTATCGAGTTGGAGACATGGTGCTACTTAGCACACGCAACATCGATTCGACCAGACCCATCCCCAAACTAGATCATAAGTTCATTGGCCCTTTTCGAATCGAGCGCGTGCTCAACCTCACTCCTACCAACTGAAGTTGCCACATGAATTAGACTCAATTCACAATTCATTCCACGCCAACCTCCTACGACCGTCACCAAACGACCCGCTCCCGGCCAATACAACACACCGCCCCACCAATAACGCTAGATGCAAAGGGAGAAACTCTGGGCGATTGAAGCAATACTGGACTCGAAACGCACAAAACAGAAAGGCTTCCAGTACCATATACTATGGAGAGGCTTCGACCTTGAGCAGGCAACATGGGAACCACTACAGAACGTCGTCAACGCTCACATCGCCATCAGAGACTTCGAAGCACAGCAAAAACAAACCCAGACCCACGAAACAAGTGCAAAATGCTCGCCTACAGGCTCAGCAAGACGTGGAAGAATCAGAAGCGATGGAGTAAGGGAGGCCCATGTGTGAGGAACGATCATGTGACTTTCATACTTTATGAAATGTCTCACTTTGATTCATGTAAATAGCGAAAGTCAGAGTCTTCCTTAGGAACCTCCTTCTCTCTTCGTAGACAATCACTTTACCCAAGTCGCACCCGACCTTGTTCGTGCACTTGTACCGTCACAGTCAACCTAGGCTAATGCAGGCAATTAACCTTCCTTTTGCCTACGCTTTTCACAGCCACAACCCAACAGCTGGGTTATTCATTCACTTCCACTGTTCTTCTAGCTATATAAGATCATTTACACTCCCTCTCTAGATAGAAGAATCAAGAGCTTTATTCCACTCAAGATTAATGCTTGCTGCCCATCTCGTACTGCAATAGACGATAGTCAAACAGAACGACAGATAGCTCCTGCGATGACAGTCCCAGCTATAAAGTCTACAAATGGATTACGTCAACTCGTTACGGCCACGAACGAGGGCAACACCCATCGCTCTGAGAGTGCGCAGGCAACAAGAAAGCGATCAATGCTCCAGCCCTTCGATCTAACGGTGAACTTTTATTGTGCGTCCTTTAGAATCATCGATAATACAGGATTGCCTGTAAAGAAGTATCACATAGGATATCCTAGTCTTGTACGGAAGGTTACACACTGTTTCTTTTCCGAACCAGCCAAGCAATTCCCGTCACATTCCGACATGATTCAACAGATTATTCGCAGAGCCATTAACGACGAGACTTTAATCGATCGCGACTGGAAGCTCCTATCAGCTTGCTTAGCAAACAATCCAGGCTCGATCTCGTATTATCCATCACAAGCATACGAGACGACATCCCTGCTTGACCTTTTCGCTCGGTTTCCCCAAACAAGGCGATTGCATCACCTTTAAGTACTCTTTAATCTTTTGTTCTCTTACGAGAGCGACAACAACCCAGACGACCTCTTCGAACCCGCACATATTCTTAGCGCCAAGAACGAACCTTTAGTTAAAAGAGAGTGCGTCTTCGAAGAAACGCAAGCAACTCCTAAGACTAAACCGACGCCGAAGAATACAAGCAAGAAGTTTAAGGTAGAGGCTATCAAGGAGGAGGCCGAGAATAAATCTACGATACAAGTAGCATCTGAGGCGGATTTTGACTTTTCACAGGACTTTAAGTCAGATTTAGGGAGCCCAGGTCAGGTCTTAGAGGATATCAAGGAAGGCGAGACTCAAGAAGATGGTATCTCTAACGCGGACGGGACTATAGGGAGCAAATGGTTACACGTCGTCAAGCTCATGTAAAATCGCAATCTTAACCGTTCACTTGCTTTTTTCTTTAATTACCATCGTCACTCCTAAAACTCAACTGTTCAAGATCGTCTAGGCTAATATTAGACTGTGATAAGACTTGTTGTAGTCGGTCCCGACCATTTTCTGGGCGACTAAGTAACGTGACTTCCGGTTGCTTCTGATCAGTAATATACTGATGCAGATGTGTCGGAGCGAGTTGTACTCGTCAAGCCATGGATATTCCGGGTTCGGAGGACTTGAAGATATAGTTCCAATGCTTAATTGAACCAAATAATCGCATATCTCTTTAGTTTTAAGCGGTAGGTAGTCGTCTAGGTTCGTGGTATCCTCATCGAAAAGCTCGGTGCATATGCGAAGCCGATCCGGTGGTATCTCCTCGGCATAATTCTGTTCACCAGCAGAATCAAGCTGATGATATAAGACCGTAGGTTGCCCGCTTCGAACGTGTGGACGATTTGGCTGATGTCGAATAGTATGACTGTTCCACATATGAACGAATTGGACTAGCTCTTGACGGATAGTATCCATATAGATATAGAGAATTGCCACTCGATCCGCCCTTGAGCTACTGTCAAATAAGCCATGTTCGGTGAGCCATTGAAAGTATTGCTAATGGAGAGTTAGTATAACTAGGGTAGATGATGGATAAAATTATACTTACTCGCCAGAACCCAGCACGATTACTGCCTAACCGATGCCACCAGCTCTCAATCCGGGTGTTATGAATGCTTCGGCCAAAGTACCAGCAGTCTCCAAATGCAATTGGGACGAGATCAGAGCCCTGTTCCTTCGTTCGCATGCCGGATAGGTAATAATGTATCCCGCATAAGAGGGATGTCTCATTGCCATGGTCCGATCGCAAGATACGAGGCATAGCGTGCCGCTGGTTTAGTACGTGGAGGTACTGTTTTGCAACGTTCCAGCTCGTACTGGACGAAAACCCACAGTAAAAGGGCCCAATTATCTATACACCTCCTTTTATTACACACACTCCCTTGTATTCTTACTTTCTTGGCACCATCTGTTAAGGACTTCGCTGTACACAACACACATCCGCTAACAAGGGCGTTTAACACCACGCTCAGCGCAAGCTGAGGGCGGCGATGGCACCCAACCCCGCGGACCAGGCGCGACTGCCGCCCCAGGAACAAGAGCCGATGACTCCACGAACGCCCCAGGAGCTAGAAGCGCTCCTCCGGCAGGCCCCACGCGCGGGTCTTGCCGAATTACTGTTGCCACGACGCGCACAGCAACCCGACGACTCTCCATTCGGCTCCACGAACAGCGACAATGCCCACACCGACACCGACCAGCTAGACGCTGTAATGGGAGACGCAGCAGACGAAACCGAGACCGACGAGCCGGACGACCTGCCCGAGGCTCAAGGCCCAGCAGTAACGGTTGCCCACGCGGCAGAGAGACTTATCGCCAACCAGATGGAAGCACAACAGGCAAAGCTGGCCGTCTTCCGCGCATTCTGCACCGCCTTCGACAAGACGGCTGCCCAGTTCAACTCGGGCCACGCGCTCAGCTTCGCGAAGGAATTCTCGCGCGGCTTCATTAGCTACTGGGACGACGCGCTCAACGGCGCGCCCACACGCGCCGGTCAGAATGTCAACAGCCGCCACGGCAGAGACGGGACCGCACCGACCTACGCCGCTATGGCCCAGAAGGGGATGGCACAGACAAGGGCCCCCCTGCCGGCACGCCTCGGCCCGAAGCCCTGGAAGGCGCCTCCGGTCCAGCCGCCTAAAGATGACCTGCGTGTCTTCGTGCGGCTCGACGACAAGTCCCCAGCATGGGGCTATCAGGGGCATGCCATCAGAGCTCACGTAGCTAAGACTCTCAACCTAGGGACAGAACGCATGCCACAGATCGCCCGGGTTAAGACTGGATGGGCTATACGGGCCTCAGACCGGGAGGCGAGGGACCTGCTTGTGGAACGGCAGGACGACTGGGCGGCCCGCCTCGGGGCCGTGGCGGTTGAAGGCTTCAGAAGTGGCACACGTACGCTGTGGCGGACTGCCCCAGGCAGCTCACGGATATCTGGGGGGCCGCCGTGGACTATGACCAAGCTATCAAAGAAGAGATCAAGCTCCAGACAGGTGCCGAACCAATTGATGTGCACATTGCTAAGAGATACTCCGAAAGCTCCGACCAGCCCACTGTGACAATGATTGTGTCCTTTCAGGCGGCGATACAGAGGAGATGGCGGCTCTTCGGCACCAGCCGACTAGCCCGACTGATCGCCAAGACCGCCCGGCCCGCGCAGTGCGACACCTGTTGGGATTATCACCCGCTACGCCTGCGACCGAAAACAAGCCTGCCGACGATGCGGCGGGAAAGACCATCGCGATAACGACTGCAAGCAGCCGGAGAGGTGCGCGAACTGTTCCGGACCCTTCCCGGCGGACCATAAGGAGTGCCCTGCCAGACCCAGGCGCTCTCACGGCCAACTCGTGCGGCTCTCCAAGATCGAGAAGTACGCCGTAAGGAAGATCGGCTCTCAGCTATACCGGCAAGCCAATATGGAGCTCGAACGGGCCACGGCGACCGCCTCCCCCCAACCCTCCCAAGGACCGACCCCGTCGCCCTGCATGAGAGCTGCCGAGGCCCGCCTAGGCAAGCAACAGGACCAGCAGCAGCAACAGCAGCAGCAACAGCAGCAGCAATGTCGACCCCAGCGGCTGCCCCCCACTAGCGCGCAGGCGCCAGACTCCACAACGCTCCCTCCACCACAGGAAGACAGATCCGAGTCTCCTATGAAGAGGCGCCGACGAAACGTATCCCTGGACCCCTATGAACAATAGGCCCCTAACACTAACAACTCGCGACAGGAGGACGATCCGAGTTCTCCAGGCCAACGTGGCCAAAATAGGGGCCTATCATAGCATAGCCCTACGACTAGCGGAAGCAGAAGACTACGACGTCGTGCTCATCCAGGAACCGAACGTTTGGATAGAAAAGAAGGCGGAGCCTGCAGGACCCAGACGCACCGCTCCTTCCACGCATTCGCCCCAGAACGCGCCTGGGAACCGGATCAGGCCCCGAGTGATCTCGTATGTCCGGAACCACCCAGATATACGGGCAGAGCAACTCTGCCCCGCCCCTACGCGTGATATCCTGTGGCTCCGGGTAAACAGCACCCTTATTATCAACTTCTATCGACACGCGAAGACACCGAGCCACTCGACTACCTCCTCCACCAGCAGGACGTCCCCGAGAGATGCCTCATCGCGGGCGACTTCAACGCCTGTCATTTCTCCTGGCAGCCTGGAGCCCGGGTGCGAGGAACGGAAGGACATCGCCCAGTGGGCGGCCGACAAGGGCTCGGACTGCTCACCACGCCAGGCGAGGCCACACACGCCCGCGGAAATACCATTGATCTAGCCTTTGCCAATATCCCTCTGCTGACGCGCTTATCGAAGAGCACCTTCATACCGGCTCGGACCATTACACGATCAGCATTACGCTCCCCGGCGGATTCCCCCAAGGACGATAGCTAGACCAAGGGTAAGCTCCGAGGAAGAAATGAAGCGATTCGAGGAACTTGTGCGGGCTGGGGCCACAGCACTACCCCGGCTGGCCGTTGAGCCCAGAGGCCTGGAGAGGCTGGCCGAGGCGCTGTCTCGCCTACTCCAAGAGGCGGCCGACGCAGCGGGCCGACGGCCCAGGAAGAACGCGAGAGGCACCCCATGGTGGAACGATCAGTGCGCCGGTGCAGCGGCCGAACTAAGAGCTATGCGGCGGATCTACCCCACAGGGCACGGCAGAGAGGTCCAGACTGCCCGGCGGGAGCTGCGCCGGGCGGTACGGCGGGCTAAGAGACATTTCTGGCAGACTGTTCTAGAAGGCGCCGAGAGCAACCAGGATATCTATAAGATCATGCGGTGGTCGAGGAAACCGAGCCGTTCCGGGCCCCGCCTATACAGGTAGGCGACCAGGTCTTCGAGACCCAGACGGAAAAGGCAAACGCGCTCCGAGTCGAGATCCTAGAAAGGCGCGGGGCCGCGGACGACATCCCGGACCCCTGGGCCCCAGAGGTGCTGGCCCCAGGAGGACTCTCGACTGCAGCGTCACGCTCGCGGATGCGGCATGCGCCTGCACCTCTACGGGCAACACCTCCCCGGGGATCGACGGCATCACGGTCCGAATGCTGCGTCGCGTCTGGAACCACATCGGCGAGGCGGTGAGGGGACTATATGAAGGCTGCCTACACCTGGGCTACCACCCCGCTTGTTTCCGCGCAGCAGAGGTCGTAATGATCCCTAAGCCTGGCAAGAGGGACCTGTCTATTCCGAGAGGCTGGAGGCCGATTTCTCTCCTAGCTTGCCTCGGCAAGGGACTCGAACGCCTAATAGCCCGGCGCCTAGCCTGGGCTGCGATCACACAACGAGTCATCCACAGCCAGCATGCGGGTGCCCTGCCCAAACGTTCAGCGCTCGACCTAGCGCTAGCATTGCTCCACGACGCGGAGACGGCCCTCACCGAGGGGAAAGTCGCCACGCTAATCACGATGGATATACAGGGCGCCTTTGACACGGTTCTGCGGAACCGGCTCCTCCTACGCCTACGGGAACAGGGCTGGCCAACAAACCTGGTCCGGTGGGCAGGTTGCTTTATGGAGCAGAGATCGGCCAGAATACGGCTCGAGGATATAACGACGCCGACAACCCCCCTGACGTGCGGGCTGCCACAGGGCTCCCCGGCCTCCCCGATTCTCTTCCTCCTCTATACAGTGCCCATCTACTCGATAGGGGAACCGAACTCGCGCTTCGGCTACGCAGATGACGTGGCCACCCTGATCCGGGGCCGGTCCTACAGGAGACGGCCGCCCGGGCCACGCGCGCCGCGGGTGAGCTCATCCAGTGGGGAGCCGATAATGGCGTAGTGTTCGACCCGGGCAAGACAGAAGTCATCCACTTCACGAGACCGAGATACAAGGGGACCTGCCGTCGGTCTGGCACGGGTCCGTAGAAAGAGCCACAGCAGGACCTGCGCTGGCTCGGCGTCTGGTACGACAGAAAGCTCTCATTCCGCACGCATGTGGAGAAGTGGGCCGCGAAGGCGATGACGGCCGCAGGGTTCCTCCAGAACCTCTCAAACACCCGGCGCGGAATCCTCCCGGTCGACACGGCATGCGGTCACGGCCTGCGTCCTCCGATCCTTTTATACGGCGCCCATGTATGGTACCCGGGGGCGCTTCGGCCTGTGTGGGGGACTGCCCGCTTAGTTCCGTCGCGGATCACCTACCTGAAGAATAGGATCCAGCTGACCTTAAACGTCGCGATGCGCGCCATCGCGCCCGTCTGGTGTACCATGCCCATTGTGCCCTCCACCGAGAGACCGGGATCCCCTGCCACGCTGCTCCTCGCAGACGCTCAGAGACGCGCCGCGGTCCGTCTACGCTCCTAGATGAGCGGCACCCCTTGACACCCCGTATGAGCATCCTCCCAACGCCTGGCCGGGAGCTAATGAAGAGGCACGGTATGCGGGCCCCTCGCGCGGCCCAGAAGCAGCACGCCTCGAGACTCCTGCGTCTTCACCAAATGACGGCCCATGCTCCGAGGCCCCGACTTCTCCCCCCAGCACCCCCTCAGCCCGACCCGACAGGGGGCGTAGACAAAACGCAGGCGGCGAGAGACTTCAACTCGTGGCTCCGGGTATGCCCTGAAGATACCCTCATCGTCTACACTGACGGCTCGCAGAGCGAAGACGGCGCCTGCGGGTATGGGTACTCAGTGTGGCTAGGCCCTAGCGAAGTGACCTACGGCAGCGGTCGGGTCCTACTCGCTGAGGTCTACGACGCAGAGGTGGAAGGCGCCCTCGAGGGCTTCGAGCGGCACTCACGTGGTCCCCAGGACCCCGGACCAGCAGTGCCGGATAGTCGTCTGCCTTGATAACTCTGCGGCTATAAGAGCCATACGAGGCAGCCCATCGATCTCGTCGCAAGCGGCGGCGGAGAAGTTCGCTGAGGCCGCGGCTCGGCACGGAGACGTCAGGACGCGCTGGTGCCCCGGCCATACGGGGATCGCCGGCAACGAGCGGGCCGACCAGCTAGCAAAGGAGGGCTGCCGGGCCTCGGCCGGACAGGCCGCCGACGTACGCGAACATCAAGAGACAGGCCAAGGCTGCGGCCAGGCGCGACTTCCAGGACTGGTGGGCCGCGGGGGCCCCGAGCAGCTACAAGAGCCTAGGGCTCAAGGCCTCGCTCGGGTGCCCCCCGGAGCTGCACACCAAACGACAGCACCTCCATCACCTGCTCGCTGCGAGGAGCGGGCACGGGGACTTCGCCGACTACCACGAGAGGTTTAACCACGAAGAGGCCCGGATCGAATGCTCCTGCGGGAGGAGAAAATCACCGACACCAGCTTCTACTGCCGGAAGGTAGGTACTCGACACCGCCTAAGGCTAGCCCCCACGGCGGGCAAGGCTATCAACCAGGCACTAGGAAGGGGATTTGACCGGTTCCTCGGGCTAGTAACGGAGGCAGGATTCTTTGATCGGATTTGCCACCGCCACTAGCTCGAGGCAACCCCCCAACCTAATATGTACAATTCTCTCTTTTCTATGTTTTCTGCCCGTAGGCTCCCCGTGGGCCTACGGCCCAGCTGACTGCGTGGGCTTTCTCAGTCACCCGGCTCTGACCGAAGACTGACTAATATTACGGCTTTACCGCCGTGCCCGGAACCCGCTGACGGGGGAAGGGACCTGAGAATCCGAGCGGCCACAGAGTCCAAGAATTGCTAGATAGGAGTAGAAGTAAGGAAGGCGCGACGGGTTTCCGGCGAGCACCCTCATCTTGTACTATACCTAGCCTAGCACGTCTTTTGCCCTTATAGGGATGTCCCAGACGGTAATCAATACTACTACTACTACTACTACTACCTCCTTTATTAACTGTACACCAAAAGTGGATCAACTGTGGCTGGGTCAGGCGCAGTGCCGATGCCGCTAATTTTGGTGCGCCCATTCCCGGCCGGCCAGCTGGCCAGTTCGTGATGCTTGCGTAACAACATCCTGTAACCGTAACTATCAGCAATACCATCAAAACTGAAGCTATTCGCACCGCGTTTTCTGCCCTTACGAGCCCGAATCATGGAGTCGCTTACGAAGACACTATTCCCGACCTTCCAGGCCGCGATGGAAGCCGCCGATACCGTTGCTGAGGCTGAGGGCTACGCCCTACACATTCGAACATCGAAGCGGGATAACGCTGGCCAACGCAAGTCTGCACTTGTTCGTTGTATCAAGGCCGGCCCCTACGAAAATCGGAAGGATAAAGCTGCTCATATCTCTCGTCGTCGCCTCAATACAGCAACCCAGAAAACAGACTGTGAATTTCGCCTCTCGTTGAAGGAAAAACGCGGTTACTGGACTATCTCTTATCTTCACGATGTTCACAATCATCGCCTTGTTGATGACCCGATGGTCTTTCCGAAGTACCGGGCGCTTGTTATCCAGAAGTATCGCGACGACATTATCCGGAAGTTTAATAACAATACCCGGCCGACCGATATTGCTGGCGAGCTTCGTGACCTGGTTCACGACGATCCTCGTTTAGCCGGTATCACGGCTCAAGACGTGAGTAACGCCTTGGCTAGGCACCGTCAGGAAGAACTAGCTGGCCGTACGCCTCTTCAGTTTCTCTACGACCGGCTAGATAAGTCCGACTTCTTTCATCGAGATAGTCGTGATCCCCAGGGCCGGCTAACTGGGCTATTTCTCGCGCCTCGTGCTACCTTCCATCGATGGCGTCAGCATCACGATGTCCTCGTCCTCGACTGTACCTACAAGACGAACCGATTCAATATGCCGTTATTGAATATCTGCGCGGCCACTCGAGATAACAAAACGTTCTCTATTGCCTCTATCTTCTTGAACGGCGAGACCGAGTCCCATTACTATTGGGCTATCTCGTTGCTGCTAGTCCTTTGCGAGAAGGAGTCGATCCCATTTCAAGGGTCACTGTCACGGACCGAGATACTGCGTTGCTTAAGGCGTTAGATAGCTTTCGCGAGCTTCAAAACAGTACTAACCTTCTCTGCACGTGGCATATTAACCAGAATGTCGTTGCGAAATGCAAGCAATTTTTCCTAAGGCATCAAAAATCGGCAATCGAGTCGTACGGGCCCCGGCATTCCAAGCGTTTCTACAAGAGTGGAACGAGATCGTCAAGTCACAAGATGTGAATAGCTTCAACGAACGTTTACGCCAATTTGAGACACCAGGCCGCCACCCGCTTGCAGCTATACAATACTGTTGCAATACGTGGCTAACGCCTTGGAAGGAGAAGTTTGTATCTTGTTTCGTTAATCAATATCGCCACTTCGGGCGTACAACGACCTCGATCGTCGAGGGACTTCACTCTCATATGAAGAAGTTCCTTTGGTCCTGTACGGGCGATTTGACGACCGTTTTCCAACGATTCGAACGCTTCTGGGGCCATCAGGCTGCTCAGATCACAGCGATAGAGAATCGAAACCTCCACAAGATATCAACGTTCTCCCTACAGGCGCCGTATATGCCGATCCGCGAGCGAGTATCGTCATATGCGTTAAAGCTACTAATAGATGAGCATCGCAAGATCCTCTAGACCCCGAAGTCAACGGGCCAAACCGCCGCCAGGTCAATGTCCTTGTAATTGGGCTACTAGTCGAGGGCTACCGTGCTGCCATCGAATCTTCGAGTCTATCAACACCAATACCTCCCTTACACTCGACGACTTCGACCCATTTTGGTATATTCCGATCGATCCAAGCGCTCAGGGCACAAGCCCTACTCGGGCACCATACGAGCCACAAGTTATCAGGGCTAAGGGCCGCCCAAGGGCTCACTCAACCTCGAAGAGTCACGGCGGTCAAGATCAACGCGGCGGGATCCGTCACATCACGAGATCGCTGAACGGCATGAGCGGGCTGAGGCTATACGACTGCCTCCTCCTCAACGGCACCAGCGGCGATGACGGGTACGGTAACGGCCGCGATGACTTCAACGGAACGAGGGCTGCGGCACATCGAGGAAAACGGCGATACGTACGAGGCAGGCACACGGATGCAACGGGCGTATCAACAAGCCGGGCGTCAAACGCCAGTCTCTGATGATGACGATCAGCCGGTACGGCGGGAGACCCAAGACTGCATCTTCGTCGCTGGCCTCACGGACGATGCCGCCCTTGAGGATGTATGGGATCAATTGGAATCACAGTTAGATGAAGCGGATCAGGCACGTAGTGCACTCGAAGAAGGAGGCCTGTTGTAAACACCAAAGAATAGTCTCATCAGCATAGAAAGCGCAGTACGAATAGCTTCAATTTTGGGTGCCTTATCGTTGAAGGAGAACTGTTACTACCTGGCTCTACTTATCGTAGAGAATGTGTGCATACAAATTGGCGGTATCGGCCCTCTTCGGCCGTCAGCCACAGTTAATCCACTTTTTGGGTGTACAGTTAATGAAAGTGGGTGGATAGATAACTTGGGCCCAGTAAAACCACGTAATATACCGTGAGTACGCGTCAATACCAGCATAGATCTCAAAACCCCAATTCTTAAGTTTGTCGTAGCCATCAATAGACCAGACCCAGTCTGGGCCATGGATAGAGAAGTCACGTCGTGTGTAACGTGTTCGTCCCCATCGTTCCCTAACGTTCTCAGGCGTGAAGTCTCGATACTCTGCGTATAGGGCATCACGACTAATAATATGATGTTGCTGGCGCATATACGTATAGAGATAGTTCCGGCCATGTCCTTGTAGAGTTGTAGAGATCTGTGCCTGGCTGTTAAAAAAGGACCGGGCGCGTTCTCTTGCGACTTGGAGCGCTTCAGGGGATTGGCGGCGGTAGAGCCCCTCTTCAAGCCGAATTCTTTCAAGACGGAACTTTGAGATCGTAAACCCTCGTCTCTAAGTCGTTTAAGCATGAAATCATCCTTAAGACAGTCATCAAAGAATAGCGACCTAATTCGGCCCCGTAAGGTATCTGAAGTGATCGTACGTGCTTGGCGAAGAAGTCCCAGTCTTTGATCGATCGATAGAGACTGGCGCGGCTTACTTGAAGCTGATGATGCTCGTCTCACGAAGAGAGCATGCAAGTGGGCATTGATTGTTTTAATAATGGGTGTTTTTTTTTGTTGTATTCCGTCGTGTCTTTTCTTCTTGCAATTGCCTCTTCTAGGCTCCCTATTTATATCCCTTTTCAGTTGTATAGGTACAATATCTAGGAGGCTGGGCTCCTTTCCCAGCCCCCTTTGCATACTGACTTTCCCTAGTCGCCGAGGGCTCTTTCAGCTTCCCCCGTATATGCAGTCTCTCTACAGCCTGTGTGGCTGCCTAATGCGGTCTCCTAATAGTCTTCTGCAGCCTCAGAATTCTCTGCAGGCTGCCTTTCTGTCTAGCCCGTCGGGGCCCTTAGCTGTATGCCCCTTATGGTCACCCCGAGCTCAAGATCTCAGACGTGCTTCGCGACAGCTCGAGAAGATGCGTACGGATTGTATTAATAGAGGATCCATCTCGATGCAAGCCGGTGATTTCCTCCTGAACTGTGGAAAGATCAATTTGTGGTCGAGGCATATTTGTTTAACTGAGTAAAGCGCTATTCGGGCTCAATGATATCGTAGAAGGGAGAAAACGTCGAGAAGAAGGTCCGAACGAGTTGAGGTCTCTAGGTCTCTCTAGGTAATACAGCTTGAAACCAGGTAAGAAGGGAAGTCTGCAGACTGTTGTTTCTTCTTCCTAGACCACTGAGGGGTCCGGAGGATCTCCTATTCGAACGGGGACCCTTTGAGGAGTCCGGCATAACTATTACTGGCTCAGGGACCTCGAGAGACTGAACTATCGATTTCATAGCTAGAAGAGCTATTTGATCGGGGAGATGGAGCTGATGTTGCTGACGTAGATGACTTACGTGGCCTTCAGTAAGTGGCAAGAAGTGCCCTCTTCCTGATAGAATGTATACTATACCTGAAAACGGGATATCAACTTGGGAGAAGCGTGGAGGATATAAAAGGGCTGCTTGAACGGGGAGGAGAAAAAAAAAAAAACATCTGATCGGGTGACACTCGACCTTCAAAAAGTCCCTTTATCCACGTTTATGCCCGCTTTTGCTCTCTCCTTCGCGAGAGTTATGAGCCCGGGAGAAACAGAACTGTTTCTGTAACTTCCGGTGGCAAAGTTGCAACCTTGAGAAAGAACCCCTCTTCCCCGCACGCTTCACACCACCTCGGCTTATCTTCGCCACCTTTTCGGCCCCTCTACGGCAGTTGAAGATGTCGAAGACCTCGGCTATGGCTACGACGAAGCGAACGATTCTAACGGAGCCCCAGGACTGGGACCGTTGGGTTAAGGAGATTAGAGCCCGTGTGGATAGAACTATCCACAAGTTGATCTTTCGAGACGGATCAAATGCTCTGGAGCCCCCTAACCGACCTAGCTTCACTGACTTTGCTGAAGAAGCTACCCACTATGTCGACCTTAACTCCATAAATCAGAGAGCTTATTCTGTTGCTACTGCTGACTATGAAAGCAGGCGTAGGGAATACCTTTACGAGACTAAGCTAATCACTGCAGCCCGTACAGCTATTACGGAGTCTATCAGCACTGCTAAACTTACCTCCCTTCGAGAGGGGGATACGCTTCGGCAGTGGCTGCAGAAGCTGGAAGCATCGACTGCTCCTTCACGCGGCTTTATGACTGACCGAATTAGGAAGCAGTATTCTAGTCACCTTCATGCTAGTACTAAGACTAACATACTAGACTGGCTGACTAAGTGGGAAGAGATTATAGAAGAAGCTGACCTTTACTTCCTATCTGAGGCACTAACAGGCCAGTGGCTACGAGATATAGCTAGCGTCATCCGACCTCTTAGCGACGGATACGCTACTATCTTCTACGAAGATAGCCGAAGAATCGATGAAGAAGCAGCAACTGCTCAATATAGGGTCTATCAAGCTCTTCGACCAGACTCTATAGGAAGCACGCCTACTTTGGCAGCAGTACCACCTTCTTCGACTCACTGGACCTTTCAGCTTGTTGCTAGAAAAATCAGAGAAATTGCAGAGCAACAGCCGCACCAGCAGAAAGGAGGAATCAAGAGAGGTGCCGGCTTTCTAGCTGATAAAGAAACTGATGAAAACAACCCTTCTGAAGAAAGACCGAAAAAGAGAGAAAGGGAAGAAACCTGACACAACCAAAAACACTGAGAAAACCGATAAAACCGATAAAAACCGATGCCCTGCGTGTGGACGGATAAGTCATGTTCTTTCTGACTGCTGGGCTCTCTTCGAGGATAAACGCCCCTCATGGTGTGATTCGAATCCTCGAATAGAAGAAAGGGTGCAAAAGGCCCTTGAAAAAGACCCAGATTTAAGAAAGAAGGTGGAAAAAATCCGTCATGAGAAGGAGGCCTAGCAACTACCGAAGAGTCGGATAGTCGGAAGAATCGTTGGGCACGCAAACCCTGCCTTTGTCTTTAAGGCTAGCCAAACGACCGCCTCTAACGACTACCCTCTTCGAAAGTCGACTCTGCTAGACTCAGCAGCTTCTTTACATATTTGCAATAACCTATCGAAATTCCGATCTTTTAGAAAAGCAAGAAACGAATACCTAGTCACAGGGGATTCAGAAGTCCGGATCAAAGGTTACGGCAGAGTCAACGTTACGGTCACGGCCCTAGACGGGTCATTACGGTCTTTACGATTAAAGAACGTTGCTTATTGTCCGAAATTTTCAGCAAGCCTGGTATCTTTTCAGGCTCTTCGAGACGAAGGAATCTACTGGGATACCTTCACAGAGCCCACAAGGCTAGTCTACCGAGACAAGAGACCGATTTGTATTTTATTTCGGAAATATCGCCAGTTTGTTCTCGATTTCCAGCCTATTCAGAAGGAGGATATTGAAGAAGCGGTTTTTCAAGCCTCTAAGCCGAGAAGAAGAGGCTCCCGGGACCCAAGACCGACAGCGACAGCAGAAGCTAGCCTTTGGCATGCCAGACTAGGTCACCCGGGACCCCTAGCTCTTTATAAGCTAGGATTACGAAAAGGAGTGCATATTCGAGGCCCAAAAACCTACGAATGCCAGCACTGTGCTCAAGGGAGGGCAATACGACAGGTTTCTCGAAGAACCCCTATTCGAGACGAACGTCAAGAGCCCTGCCAAGAGATTTGGATCGACTGGACCGAGCTTACCCCTGATTTCGAGGGCTATGTCCGTGTGATGTTCATCACAGACGCATATTCGGGCATGGTTTTCCCCTACTTCCTTAAGACTTATCATTCAAAGCACCACCTAGCCGCACTTCGAGATTTCGTTAGCTGGATGAAGCTTCGTTTTGACTACACGGTGAAAATTGTACGGTCTGACGGAGAGCTATTCACTAATAAGATTAAGAAGTGGCTACGAAAGAAGGGAATTTCAGCAGAAAAATCAGCCTCGAATACACAAGCCCAAAACGGAGGGGCAGAACGGTCCGGTGGAATTGTTATTGAAAGGGCTCGCAAGATGAGGATCGCAGCAGGCCTTCCTCACGACCTTTGGAAAGAGACCGTGGAAGCATCCTGCTATCTACGGAATCGAACCCCTCGAGCCCCTAGGACTACGAATTCAACTCCGAATTCGTCAGAAGACTGGAAAACACCTCTTGAGCTCTTTACGAAGAAGGATCAACCTCAACAGCATGCCCAGCTCAAGGCCTACGGCTGTAGGGCCTACGCTATGACTTCTAACGCACAGCTAGGCAAGAAAAAGAGGCAGAAGCTTGATCCACGGTCACATATAGGATACCTGGTTGGATATAATTCGACTAATATCTTCCGGATCTGGATTCCGCAACGAAGAAAGGTTATTTCGACAAGGGATGTTATTTTTGACGAATTTACCTATTTTGATGGGAAATTCGAGCAGCCGCAGCTGCTTCCTAGCATCAATGATCTTATTCAACGCGTTGAGATACCGGAGGACCAGAAAATCAACCAGGAAATCCTTGACGAAGAATCGGAGCTTGAGAGCGTGTTCGACGAAGACTCAGACGAGGAAGACGAAGAGGAACAGACCGACCCAGACGAAGAAGACTATAAGAGGGTTAAGGCGCTTGAAGAAGCTTCTCTTATAACACCTCCACTGACAGAAGAAGATCCTGAGGCAGGCTTCTTGGTCTCTCTTCCGGTTGCTACCCTAAGGGGTGGGGCGGTTTGACAACTCCTGGCAAGCTTCCTTTTATCAATCAACGAGTCAAACAGACCTCTTTCTACATTGTCTACCAAGGAATCGTCTGATCAGATGATAGGGTAGACCGGAACTCAAACCACTGCCGATTTTGGACAGATTTAATGACTTTTATCCTACTCCTATAGAGGACGGGGTGCATGGAGCCTTTACTGCTGGAAGACTATTTAAACCAAAGACTAAGGTACACAAGAAGGACCTACCAGGCCCACCAGAAAACACCAAGCAGCTAGAAAAGCACCCTTTAAAGAGGAATTCGTTAAAGCCCAAAAGGACCATCTAGCCTCGCACGAAGAGATGGGGTCCTTTATCGAAGTTCCGTGGAAAAGGGCTGCTGGCAAACAAGTTCTATACTGCAAATGGGTCTTTATCTATAAGACTGACAAGCATGGGTACCTTCAGAAGTGCAAAGCTCGACTTGTGGTCTGCGGCAACCAGCAGGAAAGGGGGGATCTACCGACTCGAGCAACGACCCTAGCAGGGATGTCTTTCCGGGCACTCATGGCTATTGCAGCAGAATTCGACCTCGAACTTGATCAAATGGATGCAGTAAACGCCTTCGTTAACTGTCCACTCGAGGAAGAGGTAGTCTTTATGAGGATGCCTCCCGGATTCTGCAAGCCAGGCAGAATTCTTTTACTCCGGAAAGCCCTATACGGTCTACGAAGATCCCCTCTACTTTGGCAACAGCACCTTACCCGATCCCTAGAGGAATTAGGATTCGAAAAGGTCCCACAAGAACCTTGTGTGATGAAGAAGGGGCAGTCATTGTCTTCTTCTACGTTGACGATATTGTCTGGGCCTATAAGAAAGAAGATCAAGGAATAGCTATGGAGGCTATGCGAGGAATGCAAGAACGATATAAAATGACATTGCTTGGGAGCCCCGCTGGTTCCTAGGCATACACATCCTTCGGGACCGGACTAAGAAGACGATTTGGCTAACGCAAGATGCCTATATCGAGAAAATAGCCCACAAGCTATTAGGACCGGACCGACTTTCCTCAAAGCTTCCAGACACACCAATGACAACAGAAGAGCTACTCCTTCTATTAGCCAAGCAAGCGAACAGGAAATTCATAGGTACCTACAGAAGGTAGGATCTATCCTCTTTGCTGCTATTTCAACGAGACCAGATATCGCCTTTGCGGTCTCTCGGCTAGCTAGACACAACCAGAACCCCGACGAAACACACCAGAAGGCAGCAGACCGGGTTATTCTTTACCTCTATAATACCCGTTCCTTTGGAATTCGCCTAGGAGGATCAATCGATAAGAGAGCCGATATATTCCTTTGCTCTAGTGATTCATCCTTTGCCGATAATTCCTCGACAGAAAGAGCTCTCAGGGGTATATCATGACCCTGTTTGGCGGATCTATTGCGTGGAGAGCTTCGAAACAAGCAACAGTCACTACTTCTAGCACCGAGGCTGAATTGCTAGCTATTTCAGAAGCAGCAAAAGAAGCTATATTCCTTAGCCGGATGCTACGGTCCTTATACCTTCAGATTCCGGACCCGCTACAGCTAGAATGTGATAATAGTCAAACGATACGACTGCTTGCAGAGACTAACGCGAAGCTATCAACGAGACTACGGCATGTTGATATCCACCGGCATTGGTTACGCCAAGAGACTCAAGAAGGAAGAATTCAAGTCCGTTGGGTTCCTACGGCACAGATGAAAGCAGACGGCCTAACCAAGGCACTCCTCGTCAGAAACTACAGAAATTCCAAGAGATGATTGGAATAGTTGACTTAAAAACCCGGCTTCAGCTTGAGACCCGGATGGAAGACCTACGAGACCGGATTCTAGTAAGACGGTTAGGAGAGAGGCCCTTGACCGCATAGGAATATTAGGGGAGGTCTCCTGGCCACGACTACACGGTAACCTCGTTGAGGACCTATAACCCTTTGGCTGTAGCTTTGACCCGTTGGGACGGCTCATAGCTAAGGGGGTGTGTCGAGAAGAAGGTCCGAACGAGTTGAGGTCTCTAGGTCTCTCTAGGTAATACAGCTTGAAACCAGGTAAGAAGGGAAGTCTGCAGACTGTTGTTTCTTCTTCCTAGACCACTGAGGGGTCCGGAGGATCTCCTATTCGAACGGGGACCCTTTGAGGAGTCCGGCATAACTATTACTGGCTCGGGGACCTCGAGAGACTGAACTATCGATTTCATAGCTAGAAGAGCTATTTGATCGGGGAGATGGAGCTGATGTTGCTGACGTAGATGACTTACGTGGCCTTCAGTAAGTGGCAAGAAGTGCCCTCTTCCTGATAGAATGTATACTATACCTGAAAACGGGATATCAACTTGGGAGAAGCTTGGAGGGATATAAAAGGGGCTGCTTGGACGGGAAAGGAGGCAACGGGGGAGGGAGAGATAGAAGAAAAAAAAAACATCTGATCGGGTGACACTCGACCTTCAAAAAGTCCCTTTATCCACGTTTATGCCCGCTTTTGCTCTCTCCTTCGCGAGAGGTCTTGGACCCCGACCGTGGACTACGCCCAAAGGCGTTATTTCAGCATCCATTTATAGTAGAACTCGTGGGATCTGGCCTCGACAAGCCCGCAAATGCACGGTACTATACTCTACGGTTTCCACGAGTGTTGAAGATACATGGCGATCGCTCGTTCACTGCTACCACTAGCTTCGACGAACTGCAGGGAATGGCTCAAAAATGCTCAGAGATACCTGACAATTGCGAAGGGGAAGAAAATTCTTGGCTAAGGAGGTTGCGAGGTCACAGGCACTGGCTTGGGTCATCAAGCCTTGGGACATCAAGGCGATCTCCTAGCGTCGATTCAGTTTCTTTGGACATTCAAGCCACCAGCCCAGATCAGAGGCAACAGGAAAACGGGGGAAGCGGTTGAGCTCCGAGCCCTGATAATATTTCCGTCGATTCATCGAAGAGAAGGGTGGATTCGGACAGTGCATGGCATAGTACAGTCAAACGCGTAAAACAGGACTAGAAAATATGTGTATGCATATTGAAGACTTACGCAATGGGTGGGTAATTATCAAGATTCGGCGTTTGGCAAGAGAGCAAAAGCACTGTGGCTGCCTTGTCCAACGGCGTTCGAACCCGGTGAGGCGATTGCCTTGCTACTTGTACTGAAGCGCGCCCGCAAAAGACCCCGGCCGATGCGAGAACCCGTTAAGTTACAACAAGACTCTGTCGAGTCTACTCTGCATCACCATAACTCGGTAAGATATCCTCGAAGCATCTTCTCTATGGATGAGGCCATTCGACGGTTGGAGCTCATCTCTGCCAGCAATTGGCTCGCGTGGGCCATTATGGGCACTTTGGCGGCAGTCGGGGAGGGGGACACGTCTTGATAGGTGCTAAACCCGTCCACGCTTGAAACATCCGAGATGGTCGCCAAGGACAACTTTCTTGGTTGGAAAGGTTGCGAGCCAGCCAAGGCCACAGAGTTGCATGTTGACTCAATTGTAAGCCATGCAAGGGCAGAGGCACAAACAAAATAGGGGACGAATGGGGAGACGCGTCTAAGGGTGAAGAGCCTGCTGTAGGACTGCGACAGGGTGAGGATAGAGTCCGCAGCCTGGAGACAGATTTCGCGGGGTCGGACGTCGGAATCAGCCAGGACAAGGTTGGCGAGAGGGCGGAACAGGCAGAGTAGGCAGAACTGATAGTACATGCTACATGCGGGCAGTCAGCCGAATGATGCTGTCTCTTCTCCCCTCTGTGTCTCTCGGCCCCCTCCCGAGTCCTGTGAGCCGGGTTCTTGTGTCTGTGTACATACTAGATAAAGAGTACAAAGGGGGTGTCACTGCCGCCGGTTTTGGGTAGGGAGAAGAATCCTTCGTACCAATCGAGACACTCGGTATACACTGCCATGACCTCGGCTGTGTCGAATCGTCCGTTTGGGGTATGGGTTGCTGATGAGAGGAGCTTGTACACCCATTCCGTGAGCTGGAAGACTCTTGCTGGAATGAGCTGTAGATTGCGCAGTTGCGAGCCGCGTGCTTTCAGGGCAGGGTCTGCAGCCGTGTTACGGTGCGACTCCTGATTGGATACAATTCCTGGGTATACCTAACTTGATGCATTCACCTGGTGTAGTTCCGCTGCCGCACTGGCCGCCAAACAGGTACTCGGCACCGCAGGCGGATTGGTCTAGAAATATTGAGTCGTCTTGTAGCTTGCAACTCGTAGACATGGTGAAGACTTGGCCCGTCGTGAGACGAAGTATGCTGTGTGCGGAATCCCATCAGTTTATGCTTCGGAGGAGTCGGGAATAGGGGCTGCAAGCGGTTTACAGACCGAATCAGGGACACGGCGCCGCGGTACGAAGTAGCCCAAACTTTGGCATATTTCGGCCTCGGAGCCCATCAGGGGCTCTTGAGGACAAAGATTGACTATCCTAGCGGCAAAGGAGTCGGCAAGCGCTTGAGCTTCGGCCTCGCGCCCGCAGGTAATCTGGTAGAGCGAGGAATCCCGATGGCCTGTATATCTGGGAGGTTGGCCGAGGGGCCGGTTCTGCGGATAATGGCCTCGGCCTTGTCGAAAGTGGTTTGCTTCCGCACTTGAAGCCAGGCCCGGGCTCTCCGCTTCGTCGCTGATCTCGTGGACCACCCGGGTTGCCAGCGCGATGAGCGCGTTTACCAGGGCAGAGGAGCAGTACCGGCTCGAGCCGCTGCAATAGTCTCGGAAGAAGGGGTCCTTGCACATGAGGCAGAAGGGAGGTAGTCCCAGGTGAGGAGGGCGTCGAGGATCTGCCGAACCGAAGCCACCGTACACCCGGCGCACGTCCACCTGTCGGTTTGCGCGTGTGATGCATCGTCAAAGGGCAATGACGGGGAAACAGGAGCCGCCAGGGCCGGTGTCGAAGTCGCCTTGGGAGCCTCGGTCAGTGTGCTGAGGTCGCTCGAGCCCGAGGCAGAACGGTGCATGGTGGGCGACGGCAGTCGGCTCAGGCAGTGCGGGCAGACGGCTTCGTCGAGAATGGAGCTGGAAGAGCCCGCCGATGATTCCTGTTCACCTCCATCTGACGAGCCACGCCCGTTTTCACCGTTCAGGTGCGCCAGCTCCTGCAGAATGGCTTGGTGAGACTTGGTCCCCTCGACCAAGTCTTGTATAAAGGCATTGCTGACTTCGACGTCGTTGATTGAACATATTGCGCGGAGTAGTCGGTCATGCTCCTCGTTGTACCGCCGTAGACTATCGATCTCGGCCCGTAGATCGTCTTTGGACTTGCGTCGCGGGTGGTCGTATACGCGTCCTTCTCCGGCCTCGTCGCATCTTTTGCACGGTGCCTGGCCATCATCACACTAGAGAGCGAGAAACCAATCAGTGAAAGTATCCAGCTAGGCAGGATATGGGATGAGACAGACGACTGGGGGCTCTTTGGGCTTTGGCTTCGGGTGGGCTATCGACTGACCTTTGCTCGTTTCTTGCGGCACCTCTGACAAGCCATTCGTATCAGCATTCGACGGGGCATTGTCTTTGCTGCCAAGTGCAGTAGGGGCCCGTGGAAAGGAACCGCCTCCTTATGTAAGGTACGCCTATCGTGCCCGGGGCCAGTCGAGGTCAGACCCTGAGGTATCAAGACAACATGGCTTAGGCGTCACGGCGAGATGGTGGTCAGGGCCGCGATCGCCACGTGCTGTCCATGGCAAGGTTTAACGTGCCGGCCCCGAGGCATGTTTGTGCATACGTACATGCATATATATCTTGTATTTATGTATGTATATATGTATGTACATATGGTTGCCCTGGTCTGCATGAGCTCGGGTAGAGGGGATCAGGGAACAAGGTTTGGTGTTTGGGTCACTACAGCACCGACGTGCTGCAACACAACATCGCAGACGTCATGCCGACCTCGATGGCGCGCAGGTGGGTCGCTTTCTGTCACGTCGCGCCACATTTTGTCTTGCCTTGTGTCAGAACGGTGGTTCTGCGGCTCGGGCCTAATGAGGAAATAGGTGGGTATGTACGATGGATCAAGGCTTAATGCAGCAGCTTGTGTGCAGCTGCAAAAGAGGTTGTATTGATTGTGATGATTGTGTGTGTTTTTTCTTCTTGAGGCCTCCTTGGAGGCCTCGTCCCTAAGGGGGAAATTGGCTGCCGGATTTGCCCGGTGTCTGCACGTGATGATGCACGTGATCCGACATGTGTTTCTACCCGTCAGTTCCGACACCTTGTCTCGTCTTTGTCCCCCCGTCATGTTGTGGCGGCCCAAACTAATTGGCAGGGGTAGTTCGAGCACGATCTCAGTGCAGCCGATCATTAGCCCAAGGGCGGGGGGTCTTTAGAAAGCTTACCCCTGACTCGTATTGTGTGTGACACACCGCCACTAGCTCGAGGCAACCCCAGGTACGGATACTCAGGATACTTTATGTATCTAGTCTTCTCTAGCCTAGCACGTCTTTTTGCTTTTTTGGAGATGTCCCAAACGGTAATCAATACTACTAAGTTACTAGTTATAGTAATTAAATCTCGCGATAACCTCACTTTCTGGATGCCAATTGCCTTTGCCTTATGTTACGAAAAGTTGGAGCTACTGTCTAATGATTCAGATGACACTAAGTATCTGGCTTCACGACACCTCTATGTTATGTCAGACATGTTTGTCGATGTGTAAGTGCGCCTCACCAATCGTGACTTACGACAGCGCCATTTCCAGAGGGGAAACGCGCATAGCTAAGTTACCGCTAGGTGTGAGGCGCCCTTGCCTAATACGGCTAGATACATGGAAGATAAATATCGCGCATAGAACGATTAAGGGGGTCCTGGTTTAGGGCCATGCATAGGTGATGATTCGTTCAAGAAGGGTGCCCTGCACATGGAGATCGTTGGTCAGCAGCGTCCTGCATCTTTTGCTGCAGGTCATCAATCCTACCACCTGTTCTCGGATGGCTGCCGTCACAGCCCAGAAAGGATTAGTTAACCATGAAATTGCACTGCCGGCCGAATCGCGCTTCTGCTTCACCCGACATTCTCGAGATGGTTGCAATATGTACACAGCAATGACCTGACGTCTTCGTTCTACGAGCTGCTATGCCGCAGCCACAGTGTGCTTCCACCTCTCTTAGCACTTTTTCTGCCAGATTTTTGCGTTGTACCAGGCACTACGCCCTCTTCTTGAGATGGCTGCGTTTAGAGGCATATGGAGGGGGAAGGTGGGCGTAGTGGAGGGTCTCGTGGCAGCAGCTCGGTTGGAGCGCGATGAAGCGGGATAGTGCAGAAGTACTTTAAAGTAGAGCTAGAGAGAAGAGGAGTGAAGGCGAGGGTGGGAGATGTGGGGTCTCGGAGACGTATGCGAGAGAATGGTCAGGGGCCACAACTTGCGTCACCAAACCGCGTCCTTTTTGGGCGCATTTCAGCGACACTACTTCCAGGTACATGGGCACAAACCGCGATGATGACGTTCGAGGTGCGGCAAGGGGCTATTTACCTACCCCAACCTCCAGAATTGCCGCTTTTGGCGGCTCCAACACTGTCTGTTGATCTGAAACGTGCTTGTGAACTACGCCCAGAAGAAGGTTAAGACATTTTTCGATTCTTCTGCGACATAGGCTTTTCCGGCTCTCCGCCCGCCGAGCCAAGAATATAGCGTCTAGATTGGGCAAAAGCAGGCTCGGGTAAGTCTGGTGGGCAACGGTCGTGGACATGCGCGAGTAGTTCATACTCCTGTGGAGCTAATGAGCGCCGAAGTGCTCCTTTATTGTCCTGACTGGCTTACTATGTAACATAGTGTACACTACAGTATTATTTCTGTTTGAGCTGGTCTTTTACCAGGAGGAGGCAGAATTCAGCCGGGCAGGGAGGGGCTTTTGCACAAACTTCATGCATGTTTCGAGAGACGGCGCACGTCTGGATGGCGTCATCTTGTCCTCTTAGTAGAAGCGATTTTGACCAATGAGAACTGGAGCTTAGAACATCAATAACTCTGGGCTGCGCGTATGATTGGTCAAGTGACGCCAAGCTGCATCAGAGGCTGTGCACCTGATGGCCGTTAGGACCTGCGGGACGGAACAGAGTGAGTCAGTCAGTCACAGATCGATCGTAAGAGACAGGGGTCACACAACAAGGGGCACGGTTGGTGTGGATGACTGAACAACGATCGGGAAGAAGATCCCCTGTGTATCGGGCAACGAAAGACTCTTGATTCTCTATCTAAGTGATGGTGAAAAGTTGGCTTCTTATACTTGGAATTTTGGGCTGAGTGGCGATGTCGCCACCTAGGCAGCATGTAACGGGCTAGGCCCTGCTGGACATGGCAGTGCCTTGTCGGTCTAAGCACTGTTGCTCCAGTAACGGCTTAGTCTATTTTGTTGGAGGATTTCTGTCCTTCTATTTTCCTTTCCTTCTTCTTTCCTCAGCTCGAATGTAAAACGCACGAGGACTACATAGCTGTAATTTACACTATTAGAACCCATCACACAGCATAGATGACGATGTCACCTAGAAGGTTCGAATCCATCACTAATATGGCATTACGAACTGCTTGCTGCCTTTAGGCAGCACCGTGAATGAGCGTCTTGATCTTGACAGGGCGGTAGAAACCTTTCGCCAGAACGCAAGTACGGTACGGTCAAAGCCTTGAGATGTACCTACGGCAAGCAACTGCCAACTGGTAAGTTAATTTTCTCCTCGATGCGTGATACTGTAATTTCGCATCTCGAATTTTTGTTATTTGAAGAGTTCAAAGAGCATGAGAGGAGTATCTGCAGATTATGGAAGGGCCGGAAAAATTACACGATATGTATTTCGCGCAGCATCGAAGACTGTGAAGCGTAGACTGGTACACCAGATTCCTAAATACGCTACAACTTGGCGACGCGTGTAAGCCAGGATATCACAAGTATTGCGGCAGCGAAAAATGCAGCGGCTGTACAATGTTCGTTCAACCGCTTGGCAGTGGCTTATTCGATGCTCCACACGCCGGAGCGGGCAACCCAGGGCAGCTCAGGGCAGCTCAGGACAGGCTCAGGCGGCTCAGGCAGCTCAGGGCAGATCAGGGTAGCTCAGCCCCTGCTCAGGTAGCTCAGTCCCTGCTCAGGTTCGGCACGTACTTACTCAAGGTGGATCAGGTGGTGCTAATGGAAATACAATAGAGTGTGGACTTTCAAGGGTAGACCATGATTGCTTTGTCGCGCGGCTGGAATAGATCTGAGGAGCGTGTATCCTGAAGCTTCGGGAGGATTCTCGCGGCCA